GGGGGAATATTTTGATAAGCAATATTGAACAAAAGATTGTCAGAATAATGTTCTAAACAATATGCATACTTTGAAATATTGTTAAACAGCCCCATTAAGGACTTGTGGGGGTGGCCTCTAAATGTTTCCATTTAGCATATCTCAGCAACAAAAAGAAATCTCTGAATAAGTGTTGAATAAAAAATCTTCAAAATCACAAGACCTTTCATTTGATATCAAGAAAATGGGACTGACCCCTCAAATTAGGGGCTCAGAGGGGCCAAAAGTCTTATCTACAACTCTTGAATGATCAATATTTTGTTATACAAAAGTATTTATCTTAACGATTTGCAACAATATATGATACAATTTTGATCGTATGTTACTTAATAAGTGGTTACAAGGGGCCAAAATGATTTATTTTTATGCTTTACGTCTCGAAAAGAAGGAGTATTTTTATAAGCTATATTGAACAAAAGATCTTCAGAATATTGTGATAAAAAACAGAAACTTTAAAATTAATGAAGGAAAACTTATTGACATTCTCTGTTAATGAATATCTCAGTCAAAATCACATCTCATCTTATCGAGAAATTCAACGTTAGTAGCATAGACAAGATGACATGGTAAAATTGCAAGATCCACGCGCATGCACGTGCGCTTCGCTCTGATTGGCTGAAACTAAAGTCTCAATATCTTTTTTGTTTTTTGATAAAATATTTGAAATTTTGAATATAGTCATACATTAGGGAGATCTAAAGCCTGGTATAAAGGAATTGTCATGAAAAAATGTGTGCACGTGTGCTTGCAAGGCGCTCACGTGCAACACTAGAAATTCCAATATAATTGATATAAACGAACTATTTAATTTTTTAATGAAATGTTTTGAAAGTTATAATATAAGGATATATCAGAAGCATAGACTAAATGACATGGCAAAAATAGTAAGATCTCACGCGCATGCACGTGCGCTTCGCCCTGATTGGGTGAAAATAAATTAGTATCTTTCTTGTTTTTTGACGAAATCCTTTTAAATTTTGAACATGGTTATACATTATAAAGATCTACAGTATGGTATATAAGAATTATCATGAAAAGCATGCAGATGCACGTGTGCTGCAATCTGATTTGCTGAAAATTTAAATGTCTATGACTTTCTTAATTAGTTTTCAACGAAACGGGATAAAATTTAGAATATGAAAGGATATGGATTCCTAGTAATGGTACTATCAAAATTGAATGCACGAACATTCTTTATGAAGTGGGGCGCGAAATACGCAAAAGGGCCAATATTTTTAAAAGACATTAAAATGTATATTGTAAAGATTTTTTTATCTATTCTCACATATATAGATATGCTTATTGTTTAGACAAATGTAGATCACTTATGTACATGCACGTGCGTGCGCGTACAATGCATTAAATGACATATAGTTGATATCATTATACCTTTTATAATTCTTTGATGAAATCCTTTGAACTGACATTTTTGTAAAATGTCTTACAGGAATTAGGCACAAAAAGGGATTTGGGGAGCGTTTGGGGAACATCTGTAACTCCCCCTTACAATTAGCACGTTTATACACTGAATTGACGAGGGATTTTCCACTTCATGACAAGGGGCATACGGCGGGTGTACCGGTCGGCAGGTTTTGCTCACTCCTCCATGGTACCTGATCCCACCTCTGATGTTTAGCATGTTTTTTTCTCTGCTCCTGTTTTGTATTGTTTTATGAACTTTTGATCTTGAATATGTTCATATCTCCATATGTTCCATGTATATGGAATTGATTTATAATTTTATATACGCGTGTTCATGCAGTGAAGTTAATTAAATATACTGACTATTGAAAGAAGAGGAGCTAACAAGGCGTTCAGAAACCCAACTTCAGATATATAAAAATCATATTCAATTTTTGAAAAAAATTTTAAAAAAATTTTTTCATTATTGAAATTAAGATAAACAAAACCTTTCTAGAAAAATTTTCTCAAAAAAAAAATTATTCCAGACCTGTTATTGTACATGGTATTCGTGGGGTTCGAACCCCCTAGCAATAAAACATTATTCACCACAGGCACTTGAGGGCTGGCCCCCCCTTTTTTCACATCATACTGAAAATGTCCATTGAAAGAGGTTGGGCCCCCCACTTCTTACCAGAGTATAGTGATATCAAGGAAATGTAGCATTGTATTATTATCCCAAAAAAAAAAAAAATTGGCCCCCCCCCCCCCCCCAAACATCGAAATTAGAATTTTTTCAAAATCCCTCCCTTCTTTTTTGCTTGTCAACTTTTTCAGGTAAGTAAATTTTTTCTTCCCCCCCTTTAAAAAGGTCCAGTAGCATCGTTTTTCCCCCCCCCCCCTCGGCCCCCCTGTTGCTACGCGCCTGCTGAAGCAGAGGTTTTACCACAAAAATCAATAAGATGATTAATGACACATTTTATGTTTGTTTAACTTTGATTTTGTTAGTAAGTCTTTCAACAGATTTCACAGGGAAACCGCGCATATTTTCAACGTCTACATGAAAAATACATTAAAAAAAAAATGAGAAACTTAATTCTAATTACACTTTATAATATTTATCTAATTTCTTAAACAACAGATCTATGTTAAGCTGAACATAAAAGACAGTTCCAATTTTAATTTATATACCAGGATCTTAGCAATTACAGAGGCGTAGCCCAAAAACAAAAGTGGGGGGGGGGTCAACTCCAAAATTCTTTGACAAGAAAAAAAAAAAAAAAAACCAAGATTGAAAGTTCCCCAAACTCGAAAATCCTTTTCATGGGGGTGGGGGTGGGGGAAAAAACAACAAGATTGAAAGTTCCCCAAACTCGAAAATCCTATTTCGTGGGGGTGGGGGTGGGTGGGGGGTTAGTGGCCAACTTTTTCAAAGGCACTTTATTTAAAATTCCAATTTTCCCCCCCACAATTCTTGAATCACTATACTATGGTCAAAAAGGGGGGGGGGGGAAAATTCCCTTCAATGAACATTTCCTATAGTAAAGAAATGTTGGGGAAAAAAGTGGGGGGGGGGGCGGTTTTAGATTTAATTACTATATTACACTACAGTACTATATTATACAACTATTACTTATAGAGAAATGCTTACTCATTTGTTGAACATAAGAAAAATGCCATTAAATGGGGTTTTAAATTATTTCAAAATAGCTGTGATTTTGTTCTTCATTAAAAAGGGGGGGGGGGGGGGCACAGACATACTCTTCCCCCCCCCCCCCATCTGGAAGGGGGGGGGGCGTGCCCCGCCCCCCCCCCCTGTGACTACGCCTATGAATTAAAACAGAGCAATACGATTGATATACATTGACTAAAAATTATTCCTTCCCCCAGCCTCCCTAAAATCTTCCCCCCCAGTGCCACACACTTAAATTGAATTTGCACCTTTATTTGAGATGGAATTTCCGAAACATTAAGTGTCTGGAGCAAAATCATATTAAAAGCCCCTCACATAAATCAAATGAAGCTGAGAAAAAGGCACCAATTTTCACAAAGAAACGGTCAAATTTGGTTCCCGCAGCTCTTGCCAGATATTGCGGAAGTGTTCATGTATTTCTAGGACGAATCCCGAGCTGGGAAACGAGTAACAGTAAGCTGGGATATCACTGTGTTCCGCCGTAAGTGAATTGAGGATTTTTTTTCATCTCAATCACTGTAAAAAAGCTAATCAGGTCAACGAGCATTGAAAATTCCGCTTCGAATTCCTCCCCCGGGGTCCCCATTCCGCGCCCCCATATGTGGGGTTGGCACGGTGATCACTAATGATTTGTTTGTAGAACTATTAACGATTTAGTCTACACCACTTGAGGATGATTTCATAAATGTGATTTTACTGTATATGATATGATTTTCAAGATTTTCCTTTGTAAAAATTTCATCTGGTAGTGGTCGCACCCTAAACCAAGAGGTCTAGCTTGATATGACAAATCATGATTTGCTGTTAAAAAGATTTTAACTTTCCCCCCTATGCATTTTTAGTTACCCTACCCTACTCCGAGGTCATGATTTAAACAAACTTGAATCTACACAATCCAAATTTCATTTATTTTTCCCCGAGTTTCTTGAAATGTTTTTTTTACCTATCTCCATTTCTTAATTTTCCATTGAAGGGGTATAACTTTTTTTTGGAGATTTATATTTTCATATTTTCCAACATAAAGGTTGATGAACTTGTGATCTGCAAATAAAGGTGACACCATCAACAGATGAGGTAAGAATTGAACAGACCATATTAACGGATAGCTTAACGGCAATACACACTATAATATTAATCTGACAAACTTCTGTGCAAAATTGTGTAAGTATAAAAGCACACCACAATTTTTTAAAATATAAACGTGTTTATTGAATCTTCAACGAAAGGCAAAATCTTTTATTGGAGAGCAAGGATTTGATCTCATGCATATAATTCATTTTAATTCCTTAATGTATAAAAATTCATGTACTGATATTTAATCTTTTGCGACGCTTTGGTCTTGGCAAATTTGTTGAATCTTAAAATTGTGAATTCCAAATATCTTATTTCAACAATTTTCTTCTTTTATTTAGCATATTTAGGATGCTTAGGAGGTTTGCGACAAGCTGCACAATTTCTTATTCTCCATGTAGCAAAGTAACTTCCACATTCGACACTTTTGGAACTTTCTTAAACAGATCTATATTTGGATCAGTTTGAGAAGAGCTCTCACCTGCTGCACTTGAGTGATCTTCAAAATCATCAGCTAATGTTGGAAGTTTTTTTCGCTTCAATACGTCAGTTTCATCTTCGGAATCATCCGATTTTTCATATAGCACTAAGTATTCATCATCAGGATCGATATCCTCTGTAAAATTTCCCCCCAAGATTCTTTCATGTTGGAATTGACACCGAAAAAGCGGTATTTTTGATCCACTCTCAGAGGATGTTGATGATAGCTGTAACTCATCTCCATAATTAGTATCCTTGTTTTTATTCCATATCCTTTTGACTCGAAAAAATCTTCATGAATCGAGGGTCTGTATACTTCACTTTTTCTTGGGTGTTGAGGATGAACGTGTGTTAGCGTCAACTTAAGAGAAAACAGCCAAATAGCTTCCAGCTCTGGATCAGTTTCACTTCCACTGCCTCCTGACGCCTGAACCATTTCATCCTCAGATAGATCGGATGTATATCCAAAATCAGATTCACTTCTCATTCCATAAAAAAGGTCCATATTCTTTCTCCTCCATGTGTGCTGACAGTTTGTTTTGTAGTATTTTGAGAAGACAGATGGTACTCGTTTCCCTAATTTTTGCAGTCGCTGAAAGTTTCGGGTCGTATGGCTCCCTTTCCCCCCCGCTCTCCGTTAAGGTATCCCTGTGTTCTTTGACAGATACGACATCCAAACAATGCAAATAATTTTGACTCCATTCAGGCCTATCATTTCGATTAAGACTATCCTCATCTGCATTAGTCTTCGTTGGAATCCATAGGACCTCGTCATGGACTCCCTGGTTTCTTTGGCGAAATCTGAAGCATACTCCACATATCAACATTATCCTCGAAATTTTCATCTAGGTCTCGTCTCGAGACATTGGGGTTTTTCTCTAATGCAACTGATGGATTCAATACTTCATCTTTTATTTCTTCCACGATTGTGTTTGCAGTCTGAATCCACTCAGTTGGTTTTGTTTTTCTTGGGTAAGTTTTAAAACTTTCTCTATGATTCTTCTAAATCATGCTTAGTGATGATGTTGCTAACTAATGCAGCTGAAGTTTCTCTCTCCGATTCTAACCATAAAATTCAACTTCCGAATCAGTATCAGTGTTGCAAGCATCTACACCCCGCCGTGTCATCAGACGAAAGGAGAGATCTTTAATCACTTTCTCCTCTACATTACCAATGCCTACAGATTCAATTTCATTGAAAAAAGTTCCCTCTGTAACACTTGTTCTTTCGGTTGCATTCTTCTCCACACTGTCAATGCCTTCAGGTTCAATTTCATTGAAGAAAATCCTTTCCCCCTGAAACGCTTTCGATTGCATTCTTTTCCACACTGCCAATGTCTACAGATTCAATTTCATTGAAGAAAAAAAGTACCCCCTGAAACACTTACTTTTTGATCGCATTCTTTTCCACATTGCCAATGTTACAGATGCAACTTCTTTGAAGAAAATTATTCCCTCTGAAACACTGGCCCTGACATTTTCAGCGGCACCAATGACATCAATTGGCGATGCAACGGATATATCACTTGTATTGGATAATAAATTTTGTACACTCTGAATCATTGTGTCCTGCAATAAATAAATTGATACTTTAAGTAAGTTTCAAAGACAATTCTTAAATTTCTGTTAAGAGCGATGGTAACACTTTAGATATCAAGGAAATAAATGAATTTGTAACTAACTATAGAAATTGCAGAGAATGAAAAATGAAAGTTTTAGCCAAATAGTGCTCCATAATTAATGTGAAGTTTCATGTCGTTATATACATGTATAACTATTCCCTTTAACATTTTATAGAGTTACAAAAATTCAGCATACACGCATAATATCCTTAAATGTTTTGATAAAAACTTACCTTCACAAAACCCCCTTTTTTTTTCTGTAGAAAAGTACAACAATTATCTGCAGGAGAAACCACCCCACAACAACCTGAAACAAAGCCACGATTTAGAAAATTATGTTAAATAGTATATGGTATAAAGTTCTAAAAGAAATGGTAAAAAATTATATTTTTGTAAGTTTTCTGTATAAAATTTTTTTTTCAATATATAAATTCTCGGCAATAAGTATAAGAATAGGTGAAATACGGTTTCGGTGACATGTGCACTGAAAAAAAATTGCTTTTTAAAAAATCTCTCTACACTGACACCATAAAGAGTCCTGACTCATTGGTATTTTTAGCAGTTAATGTGATATGCCCTTAAATGCAATACTATAAAAATAGAAAATAATTTTATTGTACAAGTATAGATGTTTTTGATAGGCCGAATTTAGCAAGATTTATTTCCCGTTGGCCACCATATTGGGGGTCCAAATGCTTTCATTGTTCAACCAATTTTAAATTTTTATATAAATAATTTGCTATTTTGCATTTATTTAGAAATTATTATTTTTTGGGTATATAACTTTTTAAAAGCCTCCTTTATTAAAAAATTAATAAAGATTTTCCAACAAAGATTTCTGCTATTTCTCATAAACTTGGTTAGACAAAGGGAGGAAAAATCACCAAGTCGACCTCCAATATCAGGCGATGAAAACTATATCTATATTACTAAATTTGTAATCAATTCAAGCATTCTTAAAATTTTAAAAGTCCGAAATAAGTTGAATGAAATAATTATAAAAGTGATTGCTATTCACTTATTATATTGTTGTGTTTCAATATTTTTATGCGCCCCGGGTGATAGATCCAGGGGGGTATATTGTTTTTGTCCTGTCTGTCTGTCTGTCTGTTTGTTTGTCCCGAACTTAAACCTTCACCATAACTTTTGAACCATGAAAGATAGAGACTTCATATTTGGTTTGCATACTCCACTAATTAAGCTCTTTCAAATGACACCAAGGTCAATGACCTTGTCTGTGGCCTATATCTTAAAATAGCTTTTTTCTGCAAACTTTTTAACCCGCCATAACTTTTGAACCATGAGAGATGAGGGTTCGTATTTGGTATGCAAACTCCACTTACCCGGTTCTTCCAAATGACACCAAGGTCAATGACCTTGTGACCTTGACTGTGACCTTAATGCTACAAATAGCTTTTTGATCTTTGTTGCCGTCGGGCGCATGTGTTTCACAAACACATCTTGTTCATTGGGGTAAATGACACGTACCATATGTTTAAAAATTTAAATTTAAAAAAGCTCAATATTAACACTTTTATATGAAAAAAATTTCAATGTCCAAAAAAATTTTGCACTGGTGTAGAAAATGTCATTAAATTATCATATCGGAATAAAATACAGAAACCATCCGGGTTTACCTCATAGGACGTTGGGCAGCAGGTTCGGGGACTTTTTTCAAACCGAAGTTTTAAGAATTTTCCGGAAAGATGGATCGGGTTCACGACTAAAATGGAAAATCAACTATTAGTTTTTAAAAAATTAATATCCCTTACATAAGATCTAAGAAATAAAACATTTAGACATTGTACGTTTTGAAAAGATTATTATTATTTTCAAATTTGTTTTCAAATTCTTCATTCTTAAAATTAAACTTTAGACAAGCAGATGTTTACCAGGAGATGTAATCCGCAAGTTTATAAGTGGTAACACTGGCCAAAAAAGCATCCACTCCACCGAAACAAAAAATCTTCCTTCCAATTGACATTTTTCTATGTTCACTAGGGTTGAAATCTTTTCACCCGAAATTAACAGTTTTTACATTTGTGACGTCACGTAATTGTTCATGAGTTGAAGTCTTAAACGTCATAATTGATTTACTCTTTTCTGAAAATTATGTTGCATATCATGTTACTGTAACGATCTAAAATTTTTAAAACTGGTATCGAAGATTATTTTTTTTTAGCTTAACATATCTTTCATTAATTAATTTATTTATTTATTCATTCATTACCTGCTTGTTTCCTGATTAAAATATATCGCAGAATTGTTCTGACATTTAAATTAAAAAGTTGAATTGAAATATATCAGGTATTAAATTTATTAAATGTTTTTTTTTATTCAATTTAAAAAAGGGTACATTGTTATCGATTAATATTGCATTTTATTTCTTCCTTAATGACTCTTTTATTTATTAGAGATTACTAAAACGGATTTTTAAAGATTTCTTTTGAGGACAGTCAAGAAAAAAATAAATATCACAACAGTGATCAGGTTTCGAAGAAGTTTAAATTGATTTCGAAGTAACTATTGAACGACTTAACTTCTTTTTCTTGACATCCGTTTCGTCGTACGACCTGATTGTGCAACAACATGGCCATGGAGGAAGTTCGGAATGCTGGGGATGCAGAGAATTGACTTTACGTGGTCCACACATAAGCAAAGCCATAGAAGAAAATGGATTAGATGAGAAACTGTTTGAGCTTACTAATCTGAATTATCTTTGTGTATCTCAAACATGTCTAAAACATGTATCACCCAGGTTAGGAAACCTCGTAAATCTCACTAACTTGGTATTGCACCACAACCAATTGACGGCTTTACCAGAAGAAATACAATGCCTGACAAAGTTAAAGTTCCTCGATTTATCAAACAATCAAATAGAGGAATTGCCGTTATCAATAACAAAACTCGCAAATCTAGAGTCTCTGAATGTAAGTGTTAACAAGCTACTTTCATTTCCCCCAGTTAATGAAATGAAATCTCTTCACATTTTAAATATTTCTCACAACAATCTAACAGAATTACCAGAAGGAATATTTGATCCTGAGTTAGTCCATTTGCACACGATTATGGCTGGAAATAACGAAATGGAACATTTGTCACCAACTGTAACTGATTTGCCTCATTTACAAACACTGGATTTGACAAACAACAAATTGAAAGAAGTGCCAGCTGAACTTAGTGTATGTCCAAAACTCAAAACACTCAGCCTCACGGGAAACAAATTCTCAGATAGAAGATTCGGGAAGTTGGTAGAGCAATGTTTGACCAAGGCTGTCATGGAATACCTAAATAAAAATCTGAAAAAAGAAAAAGGACAAAACCCAGATAAGAAAGCAAAAGGGAAAAACACAAAACTAACAAAAAAAGACCTTAAGAAGGAGAAGATGATGATGTGGAATTTTTGACAGATGCTTTGAATGTGTTACACTTTCCAGACAAAGGTGGTTTGGTTGTGTCTGTTACTCCCGCTGTGTTGTCTGTAAGACCATACATTGTGTGCTGTATGTAAAAACCTGGACTTTCAAAAGACATCCAACTCTTTCAAGCAATTCATCACCCTTCAGGTTTCTACATTTTCTTTCATAATGATCGATTTTAGTTTCTATCCTATAGATATCCACATATTTAGATGTAAACTACATGTGAATTTACATTTTTTTAGACCAAGCTTCATGACACTCTGTGCAATAAACGTCAAGCAGCCACCATTGCTACTCATGATCTGAAGAGTGTGAAAGGTCCACTCAAGTTTGATGCCCAATTTCCATCTCATCTTATGGTATGTCCAAGTATAATTATTGTATTTAATTGTTTATTAACTTATTTGATGGAACATTTCCTGATTCTAGTGATAAAAAAACTTTTTGTCAATCTATTACTG